AACCAAGGCTGCTCTGGACAAAGCAGAGGGGGCTGCTGGAAGAGGGTCTTTGTCTGAGAAGGAGTGTCAAGTGGGAATGCAAGGCAGTGGAGCAGAGCTGAGGACACAGGCTCTGGTCTCTGACTGTGTGCTTTCAAACCCTGGCTTTCCTAGCAGATTATTCCTTATTTTATAGATAGTACCTATCTCAAAGGGTAACTATAAGAAAAAATGACATTATATATGTAAAATGCTTGTAATATCATTATGACATTATAAGCAATAGTACCTGGCCTATGATGAGGGCTCATTAATGTTAGTTATCATTATTATTGTCCTCGCCCACATGTCTTGAACACAGAGAGATCAGATACAGACAAGGCAGAGAACAGCTAGTAGATACATCCTTGAGAAAAACATGCAGGTGATAGAGAGGGTTCTTTGTTCCCCGAAGGCCCTGGTGGCTCTGGAGGGGGAACAGCCTAGACTTGGGAGAGGGGGGACAATTGAGGCTGCAAGGACAGGAAGCCCTGGGCTGGAAGTCGATGGATGATCTACATGCTCCCTGAGGATAGCAATGTTGCTGCAGTTTCCTTGCAGTCTCTATATTCTCTGTATCTAGCCTAGAGATGCATATGGAACAGGTATTTAATAAATATTTGTAAATTTCATGCAACAGGGTCAGCACAAACCTGGACGAGAAGACCAGAGGCAGCATGAAGGCTGAGGCAAAGCTTCAGTGGAGAGTCAGACTGTGAGTTTACTGAGTTTACTGAATGATAGCTTATGTGATTTAGTCAGTACCTTCAATGGTCTGGCAAGGCACTGTACATATATAACTTTCTTTTCAATTCATCCCCCAAATTCCAGTTTTCAAAATGAAGAAACTGAACCTTTGGGAGTAAGTAATTGGTTCAATCTCTTTCCACTGGGGTGTGTCTAAGCCACAGTGTGAACCCAGGCTGGCCTGAAATCAAAGCTCACACTCCTTCCCCCAGCCACAGCCCTTCTCAAGTCCTCAGGCAAGAGAGAGGCTTCAGGTGTCTGGGAAAGGAAACCCAGCACAGAGGGCACTGGTAGGTTCTACCAAACAAATATCCACCTCAGAATGTGGCTTGAGATAGAGGGAGAGGAAGAGCACTGAGCCACCTGCACCCGAAGATTCATCCCAGAGGCATAGAAAGGACAGACGGCAGCTTGAGAGCCAGGGAATCCAGGTGGGACTTCCAGCTGCGCCAAGCCTCACACTGTTTTCATCAGATCTTAGCTGTTAGTAGGAATTGAAATAATTGAAAGAATAAAATATTCCAAATATTCCATTTTGTCTTTTTATTAGCCTGCTGCAGTTTCCAAGGAGGAATTCTCACGCCAGTCACAAGGGAAAACTGCATTTGGAAATTGCTGGGTCACCGTAAGGAGAGAGACGATAGACAACCTGATTGTGACTATTATTATCATATGATTCAAATTCACTTCAAATAAAAGTCATATATTAAAAAAAAACATGAATGTTGCAATAGAACGAGTACTAAACATCCTAAATTACTAACCTCCCACTTTTTTACCTCCCAAACGACAATGATTATGAGTCTGACCTTTTCAGCGATGACTCAAGAAAGAAATGTCAACAACTCAGCTGCTGCAGGTCTCTGTGTTTTTGAAGAAAGTCTTCTTGTAACAACTGGGACACCCTGAAAGTGTCCTAAGAGGGTAGAGATGAACAGAAAGGGGCCGACCTGCAGGGCCCTCCCCGCCTTCCTCGCACTGGGCCTGCGGCACCATTGCCTTCCCAATGAACCCAGAGTGGAAGCCCATGGGGAATCAGTTTTCCCCTGGAAGTGGTGCCTTTACTATACCTCGGCCAGTGGGGTCTTCTGTGCTCCAGGGCCACCAGAGGTCCCACAGTTGCCCCACAGAAGGAGAGACTTCCCGGTTGTAAAACACGGGCTGCCCACTGGTTAGAGTCCCTGCCCATTGTCAGAAGAGGAATAACGGTGGCCACCCTCGTGTCAAACTAGCCTGGCTGTCCAGCTGCCATTGTGAGAGAGACCTTGCCAGCTTACTAGCACTCACCCCCGTGTCTCTCTGGAAGAGAATGTAGGGACAAAGTCAGCAATGTCTAGGCCAGAAAGTTGGGTGGGGTAGTGCCTTCCTCCTCTGCTGTGAGTTGATAGGGGGGTGTATTCCACAGGTTAGAAATTAGAGAAGTTAGAAGCGGCTAGAATCAACACCGGATGCTGGGCAGGAGACACAAGAGGGGGTTCAGGGAACTACAGACTCTAAACCACCTGCCCAAATTCACCACCTTTCACAGGACACATGGGACTGGAGCAACTTGGAAATAAAATTTCACAAAGACAATGTCTGAAGCCAGGAATTTTCACTTGGGGTAAAAGAGATGGCACAGGAAGACAGAGTCCCATGATCCAGGCAACCAGATTTGAAGATGTCACATGTCAGAGGCCAGAATATCCTCATTATTAAGATGATCTTAGAGCAGGGCTCAGGGAGATGAGGGCAAGGATGAGCCCGTGGAGAAGTGACCAGGACCAGGAGGCTGCAGCTGGCCCATGTTAAAGAGTCCAAGCCTTGGAAAAATGTCAAACTGTGATCCAACTGCGTAAGAATCGCCTACACTGACCAGGCTCACACCTGTAATCTCAACACTTTGAGAGGGTGGTGCAGAAGGATTGTTTAATTGCAGGAGTTGGAGGCCACAGAGAGCTATAGTTGTGCCACCACACTACAGCCTGGGTGACAGAGTAAGACCCTATCTCAAAAAAAGAATCATCTACATTACATGTCAAAGATGCAGATTCCTGTGTCCTACTCTAAGCCTATGCAGCTGAGGCCCAAGGGTTTATCTTGGAGGTTAGCCTGACTTGGAGGTAGTGAGATTTGAATGGAGAGGGCAGAAAAGAGAGGGGAGATTGATCCAAACCGAGCTCAGCAGAGGTTTCCTTTATTTTCCCAGCCTTTGTCCAGGCCACTGTCACTAAATCTGGCCTCCAGGGCTTGAGCACACAGGACAAAGTAACCTCAAAACTGAGACTTGACTTAGTTCCCTGCAAGGCTCATTACCCCTTGGTGCTGATCCCCAGCCCCTCACCTGCTGTGCTAATGAGCCTGGCATCATTAGTCCTTTCCCACAGGGCCAGGAGCCCCAACTCACCCATGAGCACAAGCTTCAGGGCTCAGAGCTTCAACTGAAGCCCAGAGCCAAAGCCCCACTGAGTTCCCCCAGCCTCGTCTTTCCAGCTCCCTGGGGCCAGAGCTGCTGCATGAAGCCAACCTCAGGCCACATTTGGTGCAGTCAGGAAAACAGGGACAGGCCCAGAACAGCTTCTGTCTTCAGCAGTTCTGAGAGGATCAAAAAACTACTTTCTGCAGCCTCCACCTACTTTCTGGTGTGGTACAGAATTAAATTCTCCTGGTATTTTCCTGGAATCTCCTGGCTATGGGGCATATGGTGGCAGGCATTTTATAAACACTCAATATAAAAGTTATTTAATGCATAAAGGTGTGCTGCTTCAAATCACGGATTACCTCCCTTCTCCCTGCCATGGTGGTCCAATGCATGGGATGGGCATCTGCCTCCCCCTTGGGTGTGATGTGCCCAGTTATCTTTTCTCAGGAATAGGTAATTTCCCCTAAACCAAAGGCTTCTTCATTAAGGTCCTGATCAACTGTTTCTCTTCTCCTAGAAGCTGGTGTTACTCCATGTGCTCCCTAGACTGGAGGAAGATTTGCATAAAGCAGGGATCAGCCCACTTTTTCTGTAAAGGGTCAGGTAGTAGACATCTTAGGTTCTCTGGACCACACAGTCCCTATCACGACTCAACTCTGCTGTGGCATTGCCAAAGCAGCCGTACACAGTAGGTAAACTAGTGAGCATAGCTACATTCCAATAAGACAGTAACTACAAAAACACACAGTGCTCTAGTATTTGACCAATGGACCATACTTTGCCAACCCCTGGCATAAAGATAAAAAGAGAAGGCTCTAAAGATAGATGATTGGGTTCAATTTCAGGCTCCAACAGTTACCCAGCTGTGCAGCCTTAGTCAAATTACTTGACTTCTCTACGAATCATCACTGTGATCTATATCATGATCTTCCTACATGGGTTAAGTGAGATTCATGCATACAAAGTGTGTAAGAGGGTTTCCAAGCACATAGGAAAAAATCAATAGCTGATGACTCTTTTACTTCTTCAGACAGTGATAATTCTGCCCAGAACTTCCTAGCAACTGGCTGCTGCCTCCCCCTGCTGCCTGCAGGGTCCCCTAGTCTTTTCCCCACCCATGCTTGAGTTTACCTCTCTCCGAGCATGTTTCATTGATTGTTCATCCTCTGTAAGTGGATTGCACTTTGTGGCTCACTTCCCTACACTACTGAGCAGGGCTCCTCTCAGCGCCCATGCACTCTACCTGCCCAGTGCTGCCAGAACCACTTGGTTCTAGCATAGCTAATGCAGAGCCCCTGTTGCTCTCTTAGCTCTTCCCACAGCTGGCAGGCCCACTGGGTGCCCAGCCGGCAGAGTAGATGCGTCAGCTAGCTCTGCACAAGTCGCAAATCCTCACAGAGAAAGATGACCTTATGGCTGCTGCTTCTGGGAGAGAAGACTCTAGGAAGCTCTCTCCTGGTCCTTCTTCCCATCCTAAAATACGAGTGCATCCTCCCAGCCTCCTACTTCCCAGCACCTTGCCCTCTACTGGGCCACATTTGACCAGGCCTGTGGAGAATGACATACCAAGTAGAGAGTGACTTCCCTTTCCAAGGTACCTTCTTAAACCATCATAGCTAGATGAGCTATGACATCATCTTCCCATACCAGTGCTTCCCAACAGTGTCCTGGGGAACAGTCGTTCTGTGAAACATTAACAAGTGCTTGCAAAAGGGAAAAGTGTCCCGAGACCAAATAAGTTTTGGGGAAATATTTCTTTTCTACAGGACTTCTCAGGGCAGTTCATAAGCGAATATGCCCTGCTCATCTTTAGGAGAAGAATGAAAAACTCCGCAGCATTTCTAAAATTTATTTCAGTGTGGAACAGTTTTCAAGGGCCATCACACATGATCAGGATTCTGAGGAACACATTCTGGGAATTGCAGCTGTGGACAAAAGGCCGTGTATCTCTGCTCTCTGGGTTGATTGATGGCAACGGTTAACAGAGTCTGCATGGTAGAGAAATCTTTAAAATCCTTCCTGTTTGTTACACTTGTGTTCATTTCTCATCACAACTTGCTCAGCACATTTGTACCACGGGCCCTGCCCTCCTGCCTCAGGGTGGTGGGCTTGCTCCCTTCTGTCAGCCAGACCAGCCAGATCTATAAAGAATTTCCTTAGTTAGTGAAATACAATGCCCCTTCCTTCCTGAAGCCACCCAGTCACCCCAATCTGGATCTTTCCAAATGTTCTCCTCTTTGACTCTTAAAAGCAGTGCAAAGCGGCCCACAATTCATGTCAAATGAACTGGCCTGCAGTTTCCTAGTTTGTCCCCATGGGCTCCTTTATGCAACCGTGGCTTTATTAGTCTTAGTCATCCCATCTCCTTAGAGGCCTTTGCTGAACTCAGTGAACTTATTTAAACATCCCCAGGGCTTCTCCTGTTTCCCTCAGCCCCCTTTCTGTGTGCCCGGAGCCTGGTGGCGCTGACCTAAGGTGGCATTGTGGAAATCCTAAATCTTTCTAACAATTCCCAGATTGTAGGAAAAATCGCTGTTTGCATTCTTCACCCTCCATCTGTGTCCACACAGTCACAGTCTCTGTCCTTGTTGCCCAAGTGGTTTCTCACTTTGTCTCGGAGGGAGACGGAGCTAAGACCCTTGTCTCAGAGGCATCCCCTCTCCTCCCGCAGGGCTAACCCTCCTTCATTGACGAGTGACTTCTCTTTTCTTCTTCCTTTTTTTTTTTTTATTGCAAATCTGTAGTAAAAGAACTTACAGTCAAACAGTGTCTGGGAAGTACCTTGAAGTCTCCTGATGAAAGGTGCTACGGAGGTCCTACATATTATTATTTCTGCAAGCAAGGGAAATAATAGCTTGTTGCTTCATCTAATTCCCCTGAGTGGGCTCAGGCTCTGTAATTACCTGAGTTATAGGGCACTTGCTTAGAAAGCTGCATCCGAAGACACAGGCAGCCAGATGGCCCGGACGGGGTTTCACAATATGCTCCCTGAGTGCTCACTCAGGCATATCTGCTGTGAGGCCGACTTGGAGACGAGAGAGTTAAGCCAGATTTTTAATATGTAGAAATTGACTTTACTGGCGAATCTACAAACCCATGAGGCAAGTTCGTGCCAGTTCCTCCCTAAGTCCGAGCACCCATGCAGAGGGAACAGATGTCTGTCTTTCTCTAGTGGGGGCTGAGGCACCGGAAGGGTGATCTGGGAGGGCCTGGGGAGCTCTCACCAACCCGAGGCAGAAGGCAGCCTCTGACTCGGCTTTTCCTTTCTCCTTGGCAAATCTGTTTCACTCTCCTCGTTTTCAAAGTAAGTCCACCAATTCCAGAATGCTTCTGCCTGGCTCCAGCGCTTCAGGGGACCCCCTGTGATCACTCCGTGGCTCAGAAAGAAGCCCTCTGCAGCGAGAGGTCTTGGGCATCTGGCCCCCATTTCAATCAGATCTGCTCTACTATTCTTCAGTTATGGCTCCTTGTAAGATTTTATCTAGAGAGGGAGAAGGGTTCTTGCATGTGAAAATGACCAGGTTAAAACATCTTCAGCTGGGCGCGATGGCTCATGCCTGTAATCCCAGCATTTTGGGAGGCTGAGGCAGGCAAATTACAAGGTCAGGAGCTCGAAACCAGCCTGGCCAATATGGTGAAACACTGTGTCTACTAAAAATACAAAAATTAGCCAGGGGTGGTGGTGGGCACCTGTAGTTTTAGCTACTTAGGGGGCTGAAGCAGAAGAATTGCTTAAACCCAGGAGGGAGAGGATGCAGTAAGCTGAGATCGCACCGCTGCACTCCAGCCTGGGCGACAGAGCCAGACTGCATCTAAAAAAAAGTCCTCGAGATCTTTTTAACTCGTAATGCCCTTTGCCCCTGTTTTCAGCATCTCCCCTCAGATGCTCACCTCACAGCCCAGATTCTCACTCCCATGTTTTCTCTCATATTCACTCGACTGCAGGTAAAAATTATCAGGATGTATTTCTAGAAATAAATTAAAGGTATGTTTTGCATTTGAGAAAGTCGAGTCACCTGGCAGAAACGGAATTCCATCTTTCAGTGTGGGAGTTGTCAGCAGTGTTCATGGGGACTTTCCCTGCCCCTGCTGTTGGCGCAGTGCTTTCCGCAGTCCTTCCGCTTTTGCAGGTGCTCCCACCAGACCAGCAAGGATGTCGACGCCTTGCCCAGCATCAAGTCAGAAATCACGGGCCTCATAGAGCTTCCATCCCTATTCTTACAGCCGATCCGTATGTGCCTGCTCTGCAGCGGGTTTCGCTTTTATCAGGGTTCTCTGCACACATAACCTGTGGCAAGGGGCCTCCCTTTTGCCCTTTCCCACTCTGGCAATCTTGCCAGCAGGCAGACCTTGCGCCAGCTCGGGGCTCACGCATGCAAGCACCCCTTCCCTGAGCAATGCTGCTCAAGGAAACACAGGGGACCCACCTATGGCTCCCATTCATCTGCTTCCTGGTGCCTAACGTCCCCCTGGGCCAGTGCCTCTGTGAGCTGCTCCCTAAGTGCTTCTGTCTAAGCCTGAAAAAGTCAGAGCTTCCAGCCTTTTCTTCCCTCCCTGGAGCCAGTCTGACCTGTTGGGATTTATCAGAACTTTCCAAAGTACTGATTGGCCCCTCCCCAAGTGTCCATGAGAGTCAGCAGAGAACTTTGGAGATGCTGACCGCAAGGCACTCTTGAAAGGGGCAGAAAAGGGGCTGAAGTTGGGTGCCTCAGGCCTGGGTTTACCAAGGACTTTTCCTGGCTCTCATAGATCGTGCTGTTGTTCTCTTGTCTCTGACCCACAGAGTCTCTGGCTGTGAAACCCTTAGCCTCTAACCCCTTCCACTGAGACCTCAAGGGTCCCATCTATTGCCTGCAGCTCTCCTAGCTCCCCTCACAGATGGCAGGCTCCCTGGGTGCCCAGGAGCAGGGTAGATGCCTCAGCTAGCTCTGCAAAGTTGCAAATACTCACAGAGAAAGAGGGATGACTTCATGGCTGCTGCTTCTGGGAGAGGCAACTTTTAAGAAGCTCTCTCTTTGTCTTCCTTCCCATCCCCAAATAAGAGTGAAGTCCCCCAGCCTCCTACTTCCCAGTACCCTTCCATCTGCTGGGTTACATTTGACCCGGCCTGTGGAAAATGGCATACTCATTGAGAATGACGTCCCTCTCCAAGGTACCTTCTTAAACCTTCTTTGGGCTGAGATCTCACTCCGTTCTCGGGCTCTTCCTTGCTAAGGCCTGTGCAACAAGGCCATTGGTTAAGATGTTTCAAAGCACAGTCTGACCCCACGTTTCCCTGATGTGTCATTGCTTTCTTCTTCTCCTCCCAGCCCCAGGCCTCCCGCATGTAGACTTCTCAACAGAGTCGGGGACTGAGAACAGAGCTTTCCTCTCTGATCCCTTCCCTTTAATAGGACTCACCATGGCCCATGGCAGTGCAGAGTCTGAGGAGCATCTGGCTTGGGCTGGTCTGTAGAGATCTGGAATCCAAACAGCCTTTAAAGAGTTATGACTCCAGGAACTGCGGATGGCAACGTTTTCTATTATTAACAGTTCCAACTTTCCCATCTGGCTGTTTTCAGAATGAAAGCTGGAGATTACTGTCAGCATTAATTACAATCAGGTGTACTTTTCTTCTACTCCATTTTGCCCCAATGGTTTCTCACACAGCAAGAAATCCTTAAAATGCATGTCCTTTGAAATGTGGCACATAAATCCCTGCCGCTGGTGAGAGCAGCTGTCAGCCCGTTGGGCTCTTGCTGGATCTAGGGGAACCTCACAGAGTTCATGGGAGCTTCCTTGGGTTTAGAAACTCGCCTGAGCCCCTTGGATCTTCAGGACAGGAAATGTCAAGAGGATCTGCTTCCTTGCAAGATTTCTGGCACTTCCTGCTTCTAGTTTAACCAGAGCTACCTCAGAAACAGTTGTGTGAATGTCTGTGTTGAGGGCCCCGGCTGAATCACTAAGGGCAAGTTGCAAAGGAAGAAAACCGAAGAGGCTGAACCAGGATCCTCGCAGTCCCTCCAATTCCCCACCCCAGTCTCCTTCCCAGGTTATCCCTTTCACGCCCTCTCTCTCTACCCCCTTGCCCTTAGTCACTGTTTGAGCAATATTGTCTCATTCCAAAATATTTTGTCTCCTTCCATCTTTCTCCCTATATGCATATTTACATACATGCTACTTGTCTTATCTTTTCTGGAAGTTTCCATTACTCTCATTATTTTCCTTCTTAGACATCCCACATATATTAATGTTTAGAATTAATTAAACATCAGGACCATCCTCCTTTTGTAAAGACATTTGAATTTAAATTGGGTAGGCCCTTCTAGTATTTGTATTATTCTTTCACAATAGCAATGCCGTTTAGGCCACAGCACTACCATTACCATTTGGGGGACCCTGGGTAAGCTGCTTAGACCCCCTGGGCTTCTGTTTCTTTGCCTGCAAATGACAATAGTATGTCTTCACAGGGATGCTTAGGGGATTGAGAAAGACAGAGTCAGCTCCACATAGGCAAGAGGCAGGTGTTAGCTGCTCACCTGGAGTGTGCGTCATGATTCCAGGCACTGGGAGAAGGAACAAGGAACTGACTCTTGAACATTCTTGAGAGGGCAGCTCTCATCTTGGAGGATGAGGGAAGGATTGTTGATATAACACTACAAATGTGTAAGTGACATTAAGCCATCGCTGTCATACTCCCCATTTTTTTCATGATAAAGCACAATCTTCATGAGTTTCACTTGTCACATGAGGCTTATTCCATTTTCCAATAGAATGCACCACCTTACCTAATAGGTCTGTGATTTGATTTTATCCCTGAGCAATTGCAAAGTTCCACTGTTTGAAAAAGAAAATCATTAACCTAGAACTTTGTCCATCCCTGCCTTCCCCGGACACACTACCCACAAACTAACAGACTTGGGGAAAGGGGGTGGGGGACAGTGGATAATTTTTAAAGAGCTAAGCAGAGTAGGGCCTATTTCCTTAATGGAAACTGCACAGAAGAACTTACCATGACCACGTTGGTTGCACTACTGAATCAGCCCTGGCCATAACTTGCTGTAATTCACTGCTCCCAAGTCACTTGCCCCTTTGAGCTCTACAGTGGCACTGGCTATCCCTCATTCCATTCATCCTTGGCTTCCTTCCTCAGCTGCCCAGAGACCTTCTGTGGTGGGTATTTACCACAACTCCCCTCTGAGTTCCTGCAGCCATCTTTCAGATTCATTCTCCAGCTGCATTTCATAATCTCAGTAGAATAAATGAAGTTTTTGACAGTTAATTTATTTCCTTGATATATTTCAGATGTCTCTTCAGACAAAGCTCTGGCTTAGTCGTGTTGGTTGTCTTGAATCGGATATTAGGTGAGAATACTTCCTGGACACCCATTATTGAAATGTGCATTAATTGTATTTGCACACAGTCAGAGGGCTCAACGACCTTCCGAACTTCTAATTTTTCTATTTCATTAAACTCAATGGGTGTGCTGAGATTCATAAATGAGACAGTTATGAATGCAGTCACAACCACGTGGGTCTGCTTAAAATGGGTATGCTCATCCCTGGACTAGTGAATGTACCGGAATCATCCATTACAAGCAAAATTAAGGGAAATACGTTATGTAGACGAATGGTTTAGTCAAACACTCTGTTCTCCAGATTTCAAATGTTTTTGCACACATGGTGTTTTATTGTTAAAGTTGTCAAGTCCCATTTCTTTCTATGTGCTATAAACTTCTAAAGGTGGTATTTCCACTTCAGCTTGTTTCCCAGACACAGGCTTTAGGAACTAGCAGGGTAAATTACAGATACCCTGGGGACAAAGGAAAGATTGTGGATTGAATGAATGTGGAATTTTGGGTGTGGCTGCTAATTCCTGTTTCCCAAACCCATGCCATAGGTAGCTCCTGCACAAAGAAAGACTGCTGTCATTGGGGAACCCCTGGAAGACCCAAGCGCATAGCACCTTCACTTCAGCGTGGTGTCCCTGCACCAGTGATCAGGGTGTAACTTTTGGAGGCAGACAAATACGTATCTCAATCTTGGCCCTGCTACTTACTAACTCCGGGATATCAGAATGCTGTCTAACTTCCGGGACCTCTGTTACTTCATATGTGCAATGAATCTGTAGCTATTTCGAGGATTCAAGAAGGCAATGGATATAAATCTCTCAGGTCAGTTTTGATGCCTGGCACATAGAACATGCTTCGTACATGCTACCTTTATTATCATAGACCCAACCTGAAAAAGGGATCTAACCCACATGGGATCCACGGACTCTCCTCTTGCTATTCCAGTGTCTAGACTATCCCATTATATCAGTTTCTGTGCCGCCTAACAAGGGACAAAAAGCTTAGCTGCTTACAATGACAAATATTTACTCTCTCACAGTTTATATGGATTAGGAGTCTTGGCACAGCTTCACTGGATCACCTGTTTAGGTGATCCAGTGATCAAGGTATCAGCTGAGCTACATTATCATCTGGAGACTGGACTGGAAAAAAAAATGCACTTTCAAGCTCACTCAGATGCTGGCAAATGAAAATTCCTTGCAGCTGTGAGACTGGGGACCCCAACTTCTTACTGTTTGTCAGCAACTGGAAGCCACTCTCAGCTCCTGAGGCCACCCACAGCTCCTCGCCACCTGGCAACTTGCTCCATCAAACACAGCAACAGAGAAAAGGAGTGAATCTGCCAGCAAGACAAAGTCGTGCATGACATCACCTTAGAAGTGAGTTCCCATCACTTTTGCCATATCCTATTGGTTAGAAGCAGCACAAAACTCCCATCTACACTGAGATTATAATAATACAAGAGGACACTAGGAGGAGGAGATAATAGGACTGACCCTAAGTCTATCCGCCACAATTAGAAAAGGCTTCAGAGGGTAAGAAGTACAAGTAAGATCTGTATCCACGGTTCTCAGATTACGATCCCCAACCAGCAGCAGCACTGGCAACTAATAAGAAATGCCCAGTCTCAGGATCCAATCCAGCCTTCATGTATTAGTATTCTATTGCTGCTATAACAAAACACTAAAAACTTCATGGGTTTTTAAAACCACAGTTTTATTATACTGTAGTATTGGCAGTCCAAAGTCATAAATGGATCCCACTGGACTAAAATCAAGGTGTTACCTGGGCTGTATTCCTTTTGGAGGATCTAGGGGAGAACTCCCTTTTCCTGGCCCTTTTGAGCTTCTAGAGGCCTCCCTCCATCTTTGGCTCTTGGCCAAGTCACTTCATCTTCAAGGCCAGTAATAGTGGGTTGAGTTTTTCTCACATTACATTACTCTAATCTCCTCTTCTGCCTCTGTCTTCCACATTTAAGTATCCTTGCGATTACATCAGGCCTACCTGGATACTCCAGGATAATCTCTGTGTTTTAAAGTCAGTTCATTAGCAAGCTTAATTCGATCTGCAAACTTAATTCCCCCTTGCCATGTAAGGTAACAACATATCCACAGGTCACAGAGATTAGGATGTGGATATCTTTGGGGACCATTATGCTGCCTTCTACAGATACTGTATCAAATGAGGGGGTACAGGTACCTCCGATTTAACAAGTCCTCCAGCTGACAATGATGTACACTCAAGTTTGACATCACTGGTCTACATCAATATTATTTGAAAAAACTAATTCATAGAATATGGATGCCAACACTTGGTCACTGGAGAGAGTTAAGAATCAGAGGATTGCTGTGATGGTTAAACTGCATTAGAAAGAATACAATAGTCTATCAGGAATAAGTGACCAGGGTTCTTTTTCTGCTTAGAGTTTCTGAAGTCTGTACTCTATCCGTGAAAACTTAGGTGCAGTAAGCCCCCTCCCTTCATGTCAATGAAGTGGAAAGAGAGCCCCAGAGCACATGGCATTGGGAGATTAGTCGTAGCCAATTAGGTCTTGCAGAGATGATGTACAAGAGGGAGAAACATCTTATCATGCCGTTGATGATGTAAACCATGAGAGAGAACTACAGAGAGAACACTTCAAAATTCTTTGTAGTTAGTAATAAAAGCCCATAGGCAGGCAAAGAGGAGATAATTCTAGCAATGTGACTCTGAACAGGGTAGGGTACAAAACAGAGGCCATAAACAAAGGATGCTGCTGTAGAGAGAACTATTTGCCTCAGTGGTACCTGGCCAAGGTGTTACTAAGTACCTTCCAGGAATGATTTGAAGTCAGTCCGTTGGACACCGCATATGGTTTGTTGCATATTGTATGAGCTAAGTGGCTAGGAAAATAATGAATGTGCTTTTCTATTTTCCTTTTGAAGATTATTATTTTCTTACTAGCCCAGAGTAGCCACTTACTTGCAGGGGATAAAAGAAGATGTAAAGAGATTAGGATATGTTGCAGAATTAGCTCAAAATTTGATCTCTGGCCCTCAACATATAAAAATTATGCAAGATAGTTTTTTCCTGCCCTCTTAACACATTAAGAGTTAACCATTCATTTCATTTTATAGGGAAAAAATTACCAATTTTTTATTAAAGCCTAGCAATGAATAAATAAGGAAGAAAGAGGAGACGATCCAGTCAATCATTCTTTAACATTAACTGCATTGGCATCAGCTGGATAATTTGATAACATACAGATTCCTAG